ATTTCTCTGTCGAAATGTGTACGAGAATACCGTCGGAATAAAATATACAGGAATATTACGTCTCGAATTTATTTTTCAGGTAAAATAAATGAATTATATCATTCAGGTAAAATAAATAAATAAATTGCAGATAAGTTGATTTCTAATAATATTTGTTTTAAAAATTATTTTGCTTAAGGTACCACAAGAGGTTGAATATTTCAATTTTTTATGGACTTAGCAACATGATTTTTTAGAGAACATGAGTCAAAACATGAAGTACAGCTCTGCATAGAAACAAGGGCATTGGGGTATTTTTAAGAGCTCCCCGAGATGGAGGGGGAGGACTTTGAGGTCATACTGGTTGTTATTTGGAGTCACTATATATTTCTGCAGGGTGTATAATCGGTTTGTGGGCTCATTTGTGTCGGGTAATGAGATGTGAACCATTTTTGTCCTCAGAAACATAAAATAATAGGGAGGGGCAAGTGTAGAAATACTATTTCGAAAAGTATGGAGGACAATATGGAAATGAGACCCATTATGCTCCCCATGTAAAACTATTTCGCACGATATGGGAATCGTCGCACATTTGTGCTCCGGATGGTTTTGACGCTAGGACGTTTTAAAAAAATTTCATCACTTTATACTATTTTGGCTATAAATACTTAAGTATAAGCAACAGCAGAAGGGGGCATTTACCAAAATTTAGAGCAGTATATTTTTTACAAAATTTCTATTTGAACCAAATTTCTACCTACCATAATTTCTGAGAAAATTACAATCAAAGTGAGTGGTATAATTCCTTGCCAACTCTCTTGTGGTACCTTAAACGCATAACAAGTGTGAAAAGTATTTAATTAAAATTTGAAATATGAATATTTCAGAAGTCAATCCAAAATTCCTCGTCGGAATACAAAAATATGCAGAAATATTTACATGCTGTGGCAACTTTCTTACAAAATAATTTTAAGCATTCACATCAAATTCACTTCAATTTTATAGGTTAACTCAAAGTTGCAGGTATTTATGAAACTGCAAAATTCAGGATTTAAGAACTTTCTTGTCTCGTCCGATCATTTGGGATGGGACGATTTATTTTTGAAAGTTATTTCCACACGTTAAAAATTTTGCAACTTCAACGATTTTTGTGAACCTTTAGGAAAAACAGTTCAAATACTCAGAACAGAATGAAACCTGCTTAAAACAATTAGCAAATTAATTTCTTCAAATATTTACTTCGGCGTTGAAGTCCAAACACAAATAAGTTTTAAACAGATGTACATTTGCCGCAGGAATTTCGTTTAAGTAAAAATTTGCTACCGATACGGTAAAACTTTAATACCGAGCCATTACTGCACGGTATTACTTTTCAATACCACTTCATATATGAATACCGCAGGTATTATTGTAATACTGATTTCTAAGTGTGTACGATTTTGATGAACATTTAGAAAAAAAGGCCGTAATCCCAATTCCCAAAAGAAGAGCGAACCTAGTGCCAAATTGTTAATCAATTTTTTAACACAATTTACTTCAGCGTTGAAGCCCAAAATAGTTTGAGGTACATCCTTTACATTCATGTTTTACGTACAAACGTGTAATTTCGTAAATTTCGTAGATTGTAAGCAATTTTTTGATATATATTTGGTGTGCCCCGATGAAATTTGATGTACTCAGACGAAGCCTTGTGCAATAAATTATAGAGACAGCTCACGCATTAGTAACTTTGTAAAAATCCATAAATTTTGTAAAATATGCAATTTTATTTAAAACCAGGAAATGTATATGACTTGAAGATGTAAATATCCGTGCGTTAAGATTGAAATTTTAGTTATAATTATTTGGTAAAATCATTCAATTTTATTTAAAATGTCATAATTTTTTTACTGCAATGAATGGTTAGTCAATTTTAGAGCAAAATTTTGTGCCAAAATGTCACCCATTTTTTGTTGCATTTCGTTCGGGTAAACAAATTCAATCAGCAAAATCAATTCAATTTTTAGTCGAATATTTTCAAACAACAGTGTTTTTGAAATCAACCAAGTTCAGGTTCAATTTCCAACCCACTTTCAGAGTTATAAATAATGATTTTAATGCCAAAAAAAATTAACCATATTAACTATACTCTCCATTCGCACACAGTTGAACTTTTACAGAAATTGAGAATTCCGAGAAACTACGGCACTGTCAGTCTCAAATTTCCTCAGATTATGATGATGGGGGACTTTGAGACTGACAGTGCCGTAGTTTCTCGGAATTCTCAGTTTCTGTAAAAGTTCAACTGTGTGCGAATGGAGAGTATGTCTGAAATATATGATCTACTATGTTCTTTTACTTGAAGATCGATTTCCTCAAAATAAACTATCGACTTTGATCTATTGAAAAAACAATTCACACAGTCTTTGGTAACATTGTAAAATCCGCAAATTTCGTAAATTTGCAAATTTTTGCAAATATTTCTGAGTAAAATTAGCTTACAAATTTTTGTAAACTTACTCCAATCAAGCGTGTCTCTTTATGTACATACAAAAAGTAAAACTTTGTAAAATTATTCTACAAAACATCCGGATTTGACAACGTTTGGAGACGTTTCCAATGACTGCGTGTATTTCCTTAATAAAATTGCAGTCCTCATTTGAGCTAAACCCAAGAAATATGCACTTAACCTAAATTGACAAATCGCTGATAAATTTCTTCACAAATTTTTCTTCGGCGTTAAAACCAAAACAAAATTAGTTTCAGCCAGGTGCACATTTTTTTATGCAAGAATTTTCTTTCATAATTTAACTTCGCAAATTCCATAGATTGGCAACAATTCTTGGATAACTTACCTACCTTTACTGACAATGCACTAACTTACCTGCATTCATAAATGCATACATTGCAACGATAAAACGCATTATGTCCGTGTCAAAACTTAAGCATGAGTTTGATTGATAACCCAGTAGTTTCGCCTTATCTGCACTACAGATATGCATCATCACACACGTAAATTACTCCACCTTATCCTTCCCCAAGCCCAGAGTAGTTACCCTCTCTTCACACCTACAACAAAAAATACCCCTGTCCAAAAAAATGGGACTAATTTCCTCCCCAAAATTTGCAATAGTGCTATACACCCTCGCAATAATTCGCACATGCGAAACTACCACGACCACCCTTACAAAAAATGGGGTCTTTCACCCCTCCACTGCTCCCGGAGCAGTGGAGGTGTGATAATTTGATAGAGTCCGGCCGAAGATATTCTACAACGACGCTACCACCGACGACGACATTCAAGTACGTTCTTATGCACAGATCCCATTTTATTGAAGAAATTCAGGTGGTAACTTTGTAAAATCTGGAAACTTACGAATTGTAACAAAATTCTGAAAAATGTTCAAAAGAAATTTTCTATTCCTTACGTTTACAAAAGATCGACAAATCTTTATCATTGTAAATTAATTAACTTTTTTGGTATTTATTTCTTGGCGTCAAGACTTTTCAAATTCTTGAAAATACCGAGAAAATTAACTCCATTGTTTGCAAAATTACGTTACAATCTTTCATAAAATTTAATTTCAGAAAATACAGACTCTCAAGCAATTCACGCAGTGCTTTGTAAAATCCGATAACTTAAAAACTTTCACTCATATTTCTAAGGAAAATTAGTTTTCAAATTTTTGCAAACCTGCTCAGATCAAGGGTATCTCTTTATTTCGTTAAAGTTTGTAAACTCATGGGTTTTACAAAGTTACTAAAGACTGCGTTAATTGCATCATTAATTTTAAGAATAATCCTCTTTCTCATTATTCCCCAGATAAGGCCGTGGCCCTTTCTCGTTCGACTATCTGCTCGGAGTGACCACCTTTGTCGAGACGGGAGGGGACTTTGTCTTCATAGATTACGACCTCCCACTAAATGTCATCTGGCAGTATCGAGCAGCTGGAAAAACGGTCATGTGTCATGTCGAATTCAGAGGTCGACGCCGATGGTAACATCGGCGGCGGCTTGAATTTCACTAAGGGTCGGCGGCGGCGGCGCCAATTGGTAAATAATTTTTTGTGAGCTTTTAAAGAGCTATTTTGTACTTTTTCGGTCGCAAAAAAACGTGGTCGGGTAAAAAAAAGATGTACGCAATTTTTTATCATTTATGTGTTTCCACATGTCATAGTTTTAAACCCTTATATGTACATAAAAGCGTTATGTCTCTCGGTCTGTTTCTGTGCACGTGGGTAGATGTAGGATAAGGGACCACTGATAACGTCAAAGGTAAAAATGGAAAGCACTTTTTAAGTTAAAATTATAACATCTCCGATTTTGACAAAAGCATTTTCATTTTTTAACGTCTAATCTTTCACCAATTTTTATAACGCTGCAAGTTCGTTTTGATTATGTGTAGCATTACTTTAAGACAATGCTCAGAATTATTATTCGGGGGTTTTAAAACACTTCCGCGTTTTTCAATCTTTGTAATTTAAATTTAGCATTTTGAAGATTAAGATATCAATTCTTTAATAAGAAAAGATTTCCACCCGAAAATTTTGGAAATTTTAATATATTTACATACATAGTAAACTTTGAAAATTTATGGAAAGTTATTTCGGGTACAATTTCCCACTTTCGTGATAAAAAAATCTTTATAATGGCTTTGTGAAGATATTATAAAGACGCCAAATTAAGGTTACGCCAAAATTAATAACTTACTGTTGGTTATGCGGAGAGAGTTGGAATCCATCGCCGATTTACGTTACCCGAATCGCATAAGGTTATCTAAGTATGTAATACGAAGTTTTTTTATTTTGGCGTAAAACCCCATGTTGAGACTTTTACTTTACTTTTAATTTAAGTTTGCTTTCATAATAATTTCGGATTAATTTCCTGCGCAACAATTTATACTTTTCATTAAAATTCACAAAAAGTTACCATAACTTTGCTTTCAATTTGATTTCACGAATTGCGAAAAAAACTATAAATTGAAATAAAGGAAATTTCCTCAATTTAATAAATCCTTCCGGTTTCATCTCCACACATCCAAAATGATAAATACTCGTGTTCTCGTGAGAATTTTGCTGGTTCAACGTCTTCGGAAAAAACTGGCGAGAAAGAAGAGATCTTGTTATGTGCGTCAACTTTTCATGACGAGGAATTGTAATGGAGAATTGCAACTAGTCAAAGATTTACGAGATGACCCACTCTATCACTTTCGATACTTCAGGTATGCATATTCATTGAGAATACGATTATGGCCCCATGATTATAATTATTTATTTTATTAGAATGACGAAAGATAATTTCGATTTTCTTTTGGGATCAATTAAGAAGGACATAGCACACAAGGGTACCCACGCTAGGCCAATATCTCCACTCGAACGTCTCGCAATAACGTTAAGCTGTGAAATTCTTCTCACTAAAAAATTATTAACCAAATAGAAACTAATGTGAGTATATTATTATTGGCACAGGTACCTTGCCTCCGGAAATTCGCAAGTATCACTCGCCATGAGCTATAGAGTCTCCCCCTCGTCGGTCTGCCTTATCATACGAGAAACCCTTACTGCCATTATAAAAACCTTACAAAGCACATATTTACCGCAACCAACTCAAGAAACCTGGACGGCTAGCGAAGCTCGGTACCGCTTATTGTGGAACTTTCCGCACGCGGTGGGCGCCATCGACGGGAAGCATATTCGTGTGAAATTGCCCCCAGCTTCCGGATCACTGTACTACAACTACAAAGGTTTCTACTCCATTGCCTTGTTGGCAATTGCAAACGCAGATTTTCAGTTCCAAGCCGTTGACATCGGGGCGTTTGGCTCAGAATCAGATGGTGGAATCTAGTCCAAATCCAACATGGGACAACTTTTAGAAGCCGGGCAGTTTGGCATCCCACAACCAAAACCTGTTTCTGCCACGGGACCTACTTTACCCCACGTGATTCTTGGAGATGATGCATTTCCACTTCAGAATCATATTATGAAGCCCTTTAAAGGGAACTTTCTATCCCAGGAAAACACTACATTTAATTACCGGCTATCTAGGGCCCGAATGACGGCTGAGAACAGCTTTGGAATTTTGGCAGCTCGATGGAAAATTTTTCACTCCGTAATAGAAGCTGCCCTGAATCTGGCTAAATCAATTATTATGGCATCAGTTTTACTACACAACTTCTTGACCAGCCAGAGTGACTTCAACAACATCAGTGCAGACAGAGTAGAAAATGGGGTAATGATCGAAGGATCTTGGAGACAAACGGTGCTGGGTGATCGCGGCATGATCAACATTCCACAACAAGGCTCCAACAACTACTCCAGGAACGCTGCTCAAGTCAGAGATGATTTCACGGAATACTTTATGTCGAATGAAGGAAGAGTAGGATGGCAGGATGCTCATGTTAATGCCGGGCGTTGATATTATATTTTTTTCGTGTAGTTAATGATGTATTTATTTGAATTTTATTCCAAAAAGCGGCAATATTCGGGTTTATTTTCACTAGTTGTATGTAAACAAGTACAAAATTTCAATGATACAACAATAAAATTCAATATTTGAAAATTCTAGAAAATGTGGTTAATAACCAAATACTGGTAATCTACAAAAACTCAGTCTCGGAGTCGTAGATAATTTCGTGAATTTTTAACTCACACCTGCTTTCTAGTCGAGAATCTGACTCATGCATTCTTCTTAATTTTGATGCAACCATTTTCCCAAAAATATCGAACTGGTCCTCCTTCTTGTCACCTCCATCTTTTACGAACTTGAGCATTTCTTCCTCAAACGGTTCCAATTTCCTTTTCTGTTGTAAAATGACCCAATATAAATATATAAAATAAGCAAATATGGTAATAGTTTTCATGGACATACTCCGGAGAACTTCATATGAGGTCGTGGAACTACTTTTTCTTTAGTGGCAGCACTGCTTGATGTTGCGGTTACACTATTGGCGTCCTTATTTAGTAAAAATGGTCCTAGTACTTCTGCATCTTCAGTGCTCGGCTGACTTGCGACGATACCGTATCCAATCTCTCCCAATTCGAAGTCATTTTGCAGGTCCTACATTTGTCAAAGTCCTGCGGAAAATAACACCAAATTATCTAGAAATGAGGATGTGGTATGAATTTCCTTACGTGGCCTTAATATTTGTCCCCGATATAAAACTCATGGCGTCCTAATGACGGAATGAATGTCTCGCCTCAGCTTCACTTCCAGTTGGCAACGAACGACGGCATGCAAGAAATTGGTTCCGTAAATTTTCCCAAATTTTCATGCACAAATCAGCTAGTCAAATAGTAATCAAGAGCAAAATTAACCCTCCACAAATGCAACCTTTAATTACTTTTTACAGTACCTGGTTTGTTTAATTTCTCTCCGATCGTGACAAAAGTGTTCTGCCGTTTCGATTTGTTCTTGAAATCCAGGTTTTTTATCTCCCAAATATGAGGTTCTACTAGACGTATAATGTTGTCCTCAAATGCATGTTTGTCTTCGTTTGTGATAAACTCTGATTTTATTGACGATTTTTTAGCCATTTTGACCAGAATTTCGATTGAATTTTTACTTTGAAAAAAGTTGAATTTTTTCAACTTTGCAAAATGACGTGAAATTGAAAGCAAAGTTAAATTATTCCAAGTGTAAATTGATGGAAAAATTAATGTCGTCATGACGTGAAAATTTTGCGAAAATGAAATGAACCCGAATATACTATAAATTCATGTTCCATGAAAACAAAAGCAAAATTAAATTAAAGTTACGTTAATAGCCTAGTATAAATTAAGCTAAAATCATTCAATTTTGTGCCTGGAATTTGGATAATTGAATGACTTTCACGTCAAAATAAAATAAACTGATATTAAATAATTAAGTAACCTTATGCGATTCGGTTCATTCGGGTAACGTAAATCGGCGATGGATTCCAACTCTCTCCGCATAACCAACAGTATCTTCAAAAACGCAAATTAATTGAAAATTCAACTGGTAAAAATCTTGGAAAATTTGTTCCATTTTTCATAAATATTTATTCTAATGTTATTCTAATACTTTGTATTGGTCATAAATAAGAGATCATCAAATGAAAACTCTAGTTTGAGACTGAAAATATTGTTAAAGGATGACTTTTGTAATTATAATTAGACCAAAATCTAGTGTTCAAGCCAAAATAAAATCGGCGCCAATTTTTTTCTGCGGCGGCGTCGGCGCGCCGTTAATTTTTTTCGGCGGCGGCGGCGCGTAAAATAGTACCGGAGCCGGCGGCGTCGGCGGCGTGTGGTCGGCGGTGTCGACCTCTGATGTCGATGTAGTAAGTGAAATTTTACTCCGTTTAATTTTGCAAATTTAAACTATATAAAGCATATCTCCTTTTCTCTCTCCACTCTGCAGACAGAGCAGGAGAGGCTAACTTCACTAATGTTGGGGTAACAGGCTTATCGACGGGCCTATTTTGCACGTCAATTGACGGGCTTCTACACTATTTCAAGATAATTCATACAGTTCTTGGTAATTTTTTGTAATCCGGGCGAAAATTTCTACAAAATTTCCTGACTCGTAAACCTCAAGGGCTGATTATCCAATCTGAAAATACTTTCATTTAATTTCATCATCTTACTTCTTAAGATCGGCATTTAACTCATACAACATTGAATTTGTCCTTGTAATATGATAAGCGAATTCACGCAGGTCTTGGTAACATTATAAAATCCGAAAATTCTGTACACTCACAAACTTTTACAAATATTTCTGAGTAAAATTAGCTCACAATTTGTGTAAACTTGCTCAGATCAAGGGCGTCTTTTTATTTTGTAAAAGTTTGTAAAATTATTTTACATAATTTACAGATTTTGCAAAGTTTGTATATATCAAGAACTGCATCAATTTCCTCAATATTTATATAAATTCAGGCGGATTTTAGAAATATTGAGGCAATTCACGCTAACATTGTAAATTCCGTAAACTTACAAACTTTCCCAAAATTGTCCAAATATTTTTAAGGAAAGTTAGCTCCCAATTTTTTGTGAATTTGTCCAAATCAAGTGCATCCTTGTAGAAGGTAATACAATTATTTTACACAAGGCATGGATTTTACAAGCTAGCATGAATTTGCAAAAGTTTTATTATTTTTCTGGAAACTTATTAAAAGTATTTATGTTCACATAGCAAAAAATTATTATTTTGATAAATTGCCAAGTAAACACTACATAATTGTAAGTTGACAAGTTCAATTTTCAAACTTTTTGCGAACTTTTATATTTATTGCTAAAGATGCAAAATTTTATTACATACCCCAATTATTTTGTCAGGGTTTGTGGGAAATGCGGCGTCCGGACGCGGACAATTTTCCGTCCCGAGTTCTGGGAAATGTCGCCTGGCCGGGCGAAAGGTGGCTGGACATTCGAAACACAGACGTCATCCTGCCCCTGATGCGGGAACGGTTCAGGTCCGCAGCGGCCAAGGGCTGTCACGGCATTGACGCGGACAACATGAACGCCTGGCTGGAAGATTCCGGATTTCCGATCACCGAAGAGGAACAACTCGAATACAATATTTACATCGGGCAGGAAATTAAAGTGCTCGGAATGCTGGCAGGACTAAAAAATGCGCATCAGCAAGCCTTCAGTCTTCTCCCGTATTTTGACTTGGTCGCTGTTCTGGTAATTACAAAAAAAAATTTACTCAATTTTATATTGAGGCAATTTACACATTGCTTGGTTACTGATAAAATTTGTAAATTTTGTAAAATAATTATAAGAATATTTATAAGTATCCTTCCTTGATCGGAGTAAATTTACAAAATTTGTAAGCTAATTTTCCTAATGTAAAATTATGTAAAAGTTTACGGAATTTACGGATTTTACAAGTTCCCATTGAACATCGTCAAGCAAATTAGCAATTTACGCCGGCCTTGGTAACTTTGTAAAATCCGTAAAACTTTTAGAAACATTTTTAAGGAAAATTAGTCTAAAAATTTTCGTAAACTTACACTCAAAATAAGGTAGTAGTGAATCATTACCACGCGGAATGACTATGTGTCTCTACCACGCCGGTTACGATTTGTAGTAGAAATGGTAATAATAATTTCAGGGAAATTCAAATTCATTACCAAATACTAAAGAAGTGAATACCATTGTGTATTAAATTTGAATTTCCCTGAACTTATTATTACCATTTCTACGACAAATTGTCACCGATGTGGTAGAGACACATAGTCATTCCGCGTGGTAATGATTCATTACTACCTTATTTTGAGTGTACTCACAATCAGATCAAGAGCGTCTTTCATCTTTTTTAAAATTTTGAAATATTTTGATACCGATAATAATTTAGAGACGGATTTGACTTGCAAATTCATAAAGATAAAGATCCGTCTAGGTCGTCTGCGGGTTTGCTGATGTGCTACTTCGAATGTTTATCGTTACTGATTATCTATTAATTTTTAGTGATTTGAATTCTATAAACTTCTAAAATTTTACAAAATATTAAATATACTGAGGAAAACTAGGCTGAAAACGCAAACTTATTTTGCAAAAGTTTGTAAAAAAAATTATTTTACAAACTTACCAGTTTACGGATTTTAAAATCCTGCCACATCGTAAACTAATGTGAAATGGTAAATTATTGAGCCAATTCATACTATTTCATACACTTGGTATGAAATCGTCATACAATTTTAGGTACAAAATAAAAAGACGCCCTTTATCTGAGGATGAGTTTACAAGTTTACAAAAATTTGTAAGTTTATTTTTCCTCTCGAATATTTGTAAAATTTTACAACAAATTTGTAAGTTCACAAAATTTACCAAAACCTGCTTGAAATTATCAAATTTACAATTTTTAGTGAATTTTTTAATGCAATAGAAGTGATTTCTCTAGCACGCGAATTTCCCTTCGTAATATTTGCAAACTCGCGTAAATTTGTTTGCAATGCAAATGGATAAAGACTCTGTTCTGGTTTGCTAACTATTAGAAAATTTGCAACAAACCTTACTGACGTCGAAGTCCTCCCAAAAATCTCGTAGTTTTACACTAAAACTGTAACCGTTTATGTATGTTAAAATTGAGAAAGTTTGCAAAAATGTTAACAGGGTATGACAATTAGTCCTAACAATTGATTTTTATAACACGTGAAAAATTGTGATCTACAATTTCATTTCTTGCAGGGAACAATCTACAAATGAAATTTAATCCGAGACACATAAAGTTCCCGACATCTGACAAGATTACTGCGGTGAAGTAGTTGAATAAGTAATTCATTTAGCGTTAAAATCTTCCAGTTAAGATTTAAATACAAACTCACTTCATTATTTCAAGCCCTCGCAAATACGAAAGAAAAACATGGATACCGGTTTAGACGAATTAGAAAGTATACACAAAAAATCGAGAAAGGTTATACAATTATATCCCATAAAGTAGGAAATGGGATTTTTTCACTGGAGCGAAACATGTATATTTGAATTTATGTATCCGCTAAATTCACAAGTTTCTAACAATCAAAATTCAAAATTGTCACAAACGATATACTATTAATTAATTTACGATGGATAAGAGCCATTTCTTTAATTTGGCATCAAATCTTTCTGCAATTTGACACACAAAAATTAATCTGCTACGCTTTAAAAATGTTGTGAAGGCATAAATACACTCCGTTCGATAATGAACGATTACAGTTTTGCTAATAGTGTAACCATCTTACATAAGTAAAAAAGGCGATTATTACGCAGACAATCGCTCGAATCTGCATACAAAAATAAAATCCATAAATCTACACTCTTAGAAATTCAGTATTAAAATATTACCAAGCGGTATTCATACATGACTCTACCAAAGTGGTAATTACAACATAACCACTACCGTGTAATAATTGATGGGTATTAAAATTTTCCCGTATCGGTAGCAAATTTTTATGTACCGGTATATATAATTTTAATACCAAGCGGTGGCACCTTTAATACCGAAAAATGCATACCATATCTGCTTGACTAACAGTGTACCAGTTGAGACAACACCAACCCAGAGACTCATCTTATATTAGCAATTATCATGTTGCATATTAAGAAATATTTTACCTGGCGTCAAGATCTTTCAGCGAAATTGGATGTGTGAACTTTAAAGAATAAAAACAGCGTGACTTCTAACGTAAGACTTTCCAAACTGAGTTAGGTATGTAATGTTACACGAGAAATTAATGTTTAATTGACAAAATTAATGAAAGGTGAAAATGCGGATATCAATTTGTGACAAAAATTTCATACGGAATTTTCTTGTGTTCTTTCCAATGGCAGTAAACTTAGAAAAGGAGCTTTCTACGATTCAATTAATTACACAAAAAAACATCGTCCAAAATTTGTATAAAATTTAATGCAAGTTGGAAAACATTATCCTCCTGAATTCGATGAATTTTGATTTATCATTTTCTTTCCCATGATAGACTTACGATAATTAATTTTGGAAAGGATTTTCTAGAATTTTTCTACGATTCAATCACTTATACAAAAAACATGCAAAATTTTTATAAAAGTTTAAAATTTCACTCAAATTGCAATCCTTGACCATTTATTTCGATAAATTTCATTATCATGCTATTCGTCATGATAATAACTTTGACGACGTCTCAATTTCTAGAAAAGAACTATATACAGCTAATATAATTCTGAGATAAGGTATTCCCATTGTTTGTTTAAAAGGTTATGAAAAAATCGTAGAAGTGTTTTTCAAATTGGAAATCATTGTTCATTAATTCGAAACATTTCATTACGATTTTATTCGATATGATCGACTTTAACGACGTCTCTATTTTTTAGAAACAAACTACATGCTACTATATTCCACAGATAACTTCGTCGTATTTGTTTCCGGTTTTTATAAATATTTATTGAGGGAGGGAACTTACGCCAACCTTTGTAACTGCGTAAGGTTTGTAACCTTACAAACTTTTATATACATACATTTGTAAGGAGATTTGCTGAGGAACATTTACCAAATTTACGAACTACAATGTTTTTGATTCGTAAACAAAAGTCAGTAAATAATTCGGGGCTCTTGATAAATGCATTTTCAGTTGAAATTAAGGTTGCTATACGTCAAGCGAGGAAGCCCCTTGTTAATTAGGCTTATTTTATTGAGGCAATTCGCACAGTCATTTGTAACTTTGTAATATCTAAGAGTAGTTTTACAAACTTTTATAAAATAAAATAGAAGCCCATGACCCGAGCAAATTTGCACAAAGTTCGTTTTGGTTAGAAATATTTGCAATATTGTGTAAAAGTTTCTAAGCTTACGAATTTTACAAAATTCCCGAAGTCTGCGTGAATTGCCGCAATATTTATTTTATTCGGTGTGATGAAGTTTGGCGTCGTCTTTATTTTCTAGAAATGAATCTGAATAATGAATGCATAGTCAGATATCTCAGATATTCTGTATGTGTTTCCAACTTTATTAACTATTTGTTGATTATATTTTATTATTAAACTTCTTAAATATTAAAGACACGTCACAAGAAACGTCTGCGTCATTTCGTCATCCTTTAAAATGAAGGATATATTCAATTCCTCCACCTACACTAACATTGAGGCAAGGCTTTGGTAACGTTGTAAAATTCGTATATTCTATAAACTTTCGAATTTGTAGAATTTTCCACAGAAATATTTGCAAATTTTTTAAAACACTGTAAATTTATGAAATTTAGGCATTTTACAATGTTACCAAGGCCTGGCATGTGTGAATTCCCTCTTCATTTGATGTACGCTAAATTTTGGCGATGTCTCATTTTTTAGAAATGAATCACATGCATAAGTAATATATTTATCAGACATATTTCAAGTATGTACTTATATTTCCAACTTAATTAACTATTAATTAATTATATTTTCTTATTTAACTCTTTTAAAAATTACAAACACGACACAAGAAAGGTTTGTTCTTTAGAATGAAGGATATCCCCGTTTCCTCCACCAGGGGACAAACGTTCCGAAGAAAAGTGGTTTCCGTGTATTCGTCCGTCGACTTGATATCAAATACGGGTTTCCCTGAAGATATAAATGTTCCGAATACGGCACAATTATTCGTTGCGGAACAATTCTAAATAAAATAAAAAAACGATTTAAATGGTTAATTTTATCAATTTTTGTAAAATTTGACATTGAGGCAATTCCTGCAGTCATTGGTAAATTATAATATGTATAAATTTTGGCACCAACTTTAACCGAAACCTTGATCTGAATAAAGTAACAACAATGTTTGAGATAATTTTCCTCAGAAATATTTATAACGTTTCGTAAGTTGATAGAACTAAATTAACCAAAAATTATAAAACAAATTACAAATAGTATTTATTAGAACCTTGTTTTTAGAACTAAAAGTAAAATCTGTCTTTAAATTATTATCGGTGTGAAAATATCACAAAATTAAAAATCTCAACTATATAAAATTTGTAACACAATTTTACAAACTTTAACAAAACAAAGAGACTACTGACCTGGATAAGTTTGCGAAATTTTGTAAACTAATTATTTTTGCAAATATTTGTAAAATTTTGTAAAAGCTTGTAACTTTACGGATTTTATAAAGTTATCAAGCTCTTTTCGTGAATTGCCTAAATATTATTTCATAGACTTTTTCTGTAATAATTTACTTGAGCAACGGCAAAATCAAAGTTCCCCACTAATTCGGAAATTTGACTGTGATCATTTTTAATCCAGCTAACATTCGCAGATTTTTAATCTCTGCTGATATCCCCCGATTGTAAAGTAATTGATCTTCCGCCGTTAACGGAAATCCGGTTTGTGCCTCGAATCCGTTCAAATTATCGGTGTCCACGCCTTTGCACCCTTTTCGTTCCGCCGCCATAAATCGCTGTCTCATGAGCGGGAGGAGAACATCGGTTTGGCGGATATCCAACCATTTTTCACCCGGGTAGAGGGCATCGCTTCCGATCAATTACCCGCGTCAAGACGCCATTCCTCCCACCGATACAATAAATAATTTGGATAAACACCGGTAAAAATTCGGGAACATTTTACAAAGATGAAAAATAAATTTTTTAAATAATTTACCAGACCATGGACTGGTAACAAACAAGCGAACATTATCATGTTTTCCTGCAAAATTATGATTAAACTGTTAGAAATCTGGCACAGGCAGGCAGGTATTTGTTTCTCGGTATTAAAATTATACCGGTTTGTAAAAAAATTGTACGCACATGGTAAAACTTCACTACCCCTTTGGTAGAGTCATGTACGAATACCGTCTGGTTTTATTTTAATACCGGATTTCTAAGAGGAGAAATACTTTTAAAAATCTGGCAAAGTGGCTCGGAAATAAATTGGTAAATATTAATATGATCACTAATTATTTGTTGCTGATTAAGAACTTTTGGGAATTTTGACGTTGTCCTGGTGCAAATATAACGAACGTGGGTTTAAAAACATTGCTAACAAATTTGGTCTTAAATTGTTACCGTAATTTCTACACTGTTAGAAATCTGGTAGAGTCATGTTTGCAAATGTTTGCTTGATATTTTTTTAATAATTTCGACGCCAGGAGAAATATTTATTATTGAGCTATTTTGCTCGATAGTTAAAGATATTTTGATTTAAAAAAATGCATACATGAGTTTTTTTTGGAAACTTACCTTAAAGTTTGGGAAACTTCGTCAAGACCTCAATTACTTACACTATTTAACATCTAGTAGATTCACGTATATACTCCATTGATTTGGAATAACTTCCTAGTTCCTACTGGATTGGTAGTAGTTTGTTTCTGACCGGTAAATTTTTCATTTCCACAACATTACTAGAGGATAATGTCCCATTAGTATCAGTGCCGGTAGAGTGATATAAGTTGGTTGGTAGTGAGTGCTGCTATTAAATTCAAGTTAAAAAAATAGTGCATTGAATTATAGTTTTTGAGGAGTGAATTTCTTGACAGTTAAAAAAAGAAGGTAAATTACAATGAGGAAATTCACGCAGTGCTTGGTGACATTGTGAAACCCGTAAATTCTGTGAATTTCGCAACTTTTATAGAATTTTGCAAACATTTCTAAGGAAAATTCCCTTCTTGCAAACTTTTGCAAAATTTTTGCAAACTTGCTTATCTCTTTATCCTGTAAAGATTTATAAAATTATTTTACAAAATTTTTGGATTTTACAAAGTTACAAACAACTGGGTGAACTGATTCATTCCAAAACCTTTTGTCCCTATCTAAAATATTTTATGCAGTTCAGTCAAAATTTCTGCGATTCTTTGAACGGCGTATTGCGCCTACTTTTAGGCATGACCATTTCTGCAATTTTTTTGGCTATGCGGAAAATCTTGCAAATTAAGTGCTAAAAATATTTTTAAAAGTCCGTAAATTTACGAAATTTACGCATTTTACAATGTTACCAAGGCCTGTGTGAATTTCTTCGTTATTATTTTTTATGTACGTTAAACTTTGGCGACGTCTCAGTTTTTTTTTAGAAATTAACCACATAATTCATAGATTATTCAGATGCCAAGTCTCCAGTTGATAAGTATTTCCACCTTTTTAAAACTATTTATTAAGTATTAATTAATTACATTTTGTTATTTAACTTCTTAAAAATTACAAACATGACACCAGCAAAGTTTGCGTCATTTCGTCATTCTTCAAAATGAAGGATATCCTCGTTTCCTCCACCTCGAATGAAATTGAGACATTCACGTAGGTTTTAGTAACGTTGTAAAATTCGTAAATTCTGTAAACTTACAAACTTATAGAATTTTTCACGAAACTATTCTAAAATTTTGTAAAAGTCTGGAAATTTACGGAATTTACGAGCTTTACAAGGTTATTAAAGCCTTGTGAATTTCCTCGTTATGATTTTTTGATGTACGTTAAACTTTTGCCACGTCTCAGTTTTTATGAAGGAACACATAATTAGGAAATTTGCAAGATAGGTAGGTAAATTCGTGTACGTTCGCATTTTTCCCATTTTATTAACTATTATTTAACATACAGATATTTTGTTATCAAATAAATTTCGCAAAATTGCAAACACGACACGTTGTGTTAGACATTTCGTTTCCCGTTATAAATATACTTCCAACTGTATTAACTATTTACTAACTATTGATTAATTATATTTTGTTATTTAACTTTTTTAAAAATTACAAACACGACACGAGAAAAGTCTGCGTCATTTTGCCATTCTTTAAAATGGAAGATACCCCCGTTTCCCCCACGTCAACTGACATTGAGGCAATTCACATAGACATTGGTAACGTTGCAAAGTTCTTAAATTTTGTAAACTTTCAAACTTCTGGAATTTTCTACAGAAATATTTGTTAAATTTTGTAAAAGTCTGTAAGTTTATGGAATTTACGAGGTTACCAACTTGGTAATACCAAGGCCTGTGTGAATTTCCTCGTTATTATTTTATTTGATATGCGTTAAACTTCGGCGACGTCTCATTTTTTTAAGAAATTAACTACATCTTCATAGATTTTTCAGATGTCAAGTCTGCAATATAGAAGTACGTACAATTCTTTTATTTATTAGCTGTTAATTAATTACATCTTATTATTTAACTCTTAAAAATTACAAACACGACACAAGAAAAGCCTGCGTCATTTCGTCATTCTTTAAAATGAAAGATATCCCCGTTTCCTCCACCAGGGGACAAACATTACGAAGAAAAGTGGTCTCCGTGTATTCGTCCGTCGACTCAATGTCAAAAACGGGTTTTCCTGAAGATATGAATGTTCCCAATACGGCACAATTATTCGTTGCGGAACAGTTCTACATAAAAAAATAATAATCGCAATGGTTATTTTTTATAAAATTTGATATTGACGCAATTCACGCAGGCCTTGGTAACTGTAAAATTTATAAATTTTGTAAAATAATTTTACAAACTTTCAAAAAATCCTTCCTTGATTGGAGTGAGTTTACAAAATTTGTATGCTAATTTTCCTCATGCAAAATTATCTATAAGTTTACGGAATTTACAGATTTTATAAGTTCCCAATAAACTCTATCAATCAAATTGGCAATTCACGCAGGCATTGGTAGCTCTGAAAAATCCGTAAACGTTTACAAACATTTTTAAAGAAAAGTAGCTTACAAATTTTTGTAAACTTACTTACTGACAATCAGATCAAGGGTGTCTTTTATATATTTTTTAAATTTTGAGATGTTTTCATACCGATAAAAATTTAAACAAGGTTTTGTCTTGCTAATTCAACAAGAAAAGATCTATTGATGTCGTTTCGGTGTACTTGTGTAAAGTAAAATATAAGTGTACTAAATTAGAGTATTAAATGTTTATCTCTACTTATCATTTATTAATTGTTGATTGTTTGAATTTTGCACAATTTATAAAAACTATACAAAAATTTTACAAACATTTCTAAGGAAAATTTGCTTACAAATTTTTGTAAATTTGCTCAGATCGAGGGCGCTTTTTAATGTTGTAAAATTTTGTAAAATTATTTTACAAAATTTTCGGATTTTACAATCATGCCAAAACCTTGGTGAATCGCCTCATTATTTCATCATTTTTATGTAATTACTTACTTGAACAACGGCAAAATCAAAGTTCCCAACTAATTCGGAAACTTGACTGTGATCATTTTTTAATCCAGCCAACATTCCCAGATTTTTAATCTCTGCCGCGATCTCTCGATTGTAAACTAATTGATCTTCCGCCGTTAACGAAAATCCGGTCTGTGCCTCGAATCCGTTCAAATTATCGGTGTCCACGCCTTTGCACCCTTTTCGCTCCGCGGCCATGAATCGCTGCCTCATCAGCGGGATGAGCACATCGGTTTGACGGATATCCAACCATTTTTCACCCGGGTAGAGGGCATCGCTTCCGATCACTTCGGGCGGGAAATTACCCGCGTCAAGACGCCATTCCTCCCAAGCTCCCTGGAAATAAGTACACTGTTAGAAATCTGGTAATTCAGATACAATAAATAATTTGGTACAACACCTGTAGATTTTTACACTTGGTAAAATGTTCCCAAATTAGTACCGGTGTTTTGCCAAATTATTTATTGTATCGGAATTACCAATAAAAACACCGGTACTTATTTGGGAACATTTTACCAAGTTAAAAAATATTTTTTTGGAAATAATTGAGCAGACCATAGACCGGTAGCATACAAGCGAACATTATGTTTTTTTGCAAAATTAGGATTACGCTGTTAGAAATCTGGTAAAGTCAGGCAGGTAGTGATTTCGAAGTATTAAAGTTCTACCGCTTGGTACTAAAATTATACCTGACCGTAACTAAGTTGTATAAATGTACAAAAGTTACAAAGTTTATAAAACTTGCGGATTTTACAAAGTTACGAATGATTCGTAAATTGCGTCATTCTAAAGGTTGCAACGTATCTATAATATTATTAAAATATTGATCTGCGATACTTTTTACTTACGGCGCATTGCAGTTACAAGAAAAACCTACTCAAGTTTTCTGACAGGTTTTTATTGCTATGCTAACCTTGTAAATTTGTAAAAGTAAGTACTAACTTACTTTTACTTACTTTTAGTAATGAAGAAATTCACGCAGTCATATGTAATTTTGTAAAATCGGCACATTTTACAAAATAATTTAGCAAACTTTAAAAAAATAAAAAGATCTATGAAAGTTTACAAATATTTGTAACCTACATAATTTGCCTTAGAAATATTTGTAAACTTTTGGAAGTTTACAAATTTTACAGATTTTACAAGGATACCGTTACCAAGGCCTGCGTGAATTGCCTCAATGTAAATAACAAACTACAACTAAACCAAAATAATTTACAGGTGAATTTAATTTTCTAATGACATGCACATATCTATTTTGTAAATTATAATTATTAATACTCGAGCAAAAAATCGCAAAATTTCCATTATTTCCTTACCACATTCACGTAACACATCACCGTCCTTCCCGCCGCCGCATACTGGCTAATAATCGCCTGGGAAAGATCCAAATCCAGAAAAACATAGTCTCCAGGCGTATTATAAAATCGATCCACCCCGATCAAATAATCGAAAGAAAACGGTCCACTGCCATCTTCCCCTTCCGGACACAACGCTTCACTCACAGATTTCATCAAATACACCAAATCATCCCAATTTCCCGCCAAAAAAACTTTTCCCACATCGCCCCCCGTAATATCTAGAAGCTCCATCTCACTAACAAATTCCGTAATTCCGAGCGCATACAGCATAATTCCGTGCCCTCTCGCGGCATCGGCCTCCTCCTTCGTTTTATCAGGCTGATTTGAAATCCCGTCCGTAATGACGATCAGATGTTGCGGTTTGGCGCGCGTATTATTTCGGAGGGATTCGGCAGCCACCGCGATTCCTCGGTCGGTCGGGGTGGGACCGGCGTGATACCGGGCGGACAGGATGGCCTGCACGATTTCGTCGGTGGATTGGCCACTGGTTAGATCGATGACGGTTTCGACCCCTTCTGAGTAGACGATCAGACCGAATCGGGTTTCGGGGTGGGATGTAAATGCGGTGGAAAGGTTGGCCACGAAGGATTTGACGGTTTGGTAGTTGTCGAGGCCGATGGAGCCGGAGGAGTCGAGAACGACGATAAGGTCGAGGGTGGAGGTGCAGGGGACGACAGGGTCGGGAGGGGGGAGGGTGGTGGTGGTTGGTGTAGTTGTAGTTGGTGTGGTCGTGGTGGGGGTGGTTGTAGTTGGAAGGGGTGTAGTCGATGTGGGGGGTGATGACGACCCAGTAACGGGGGGTGCCGTGATCGATGTAGTGTTGACCTTTAATTATTTACAAGGAAGTGAAAAGTCGCAATATACATTTAAAATTAAGCGCCATAATTTACAACGTTTAAAAAATTTTGTAAAATTTTTAGCTTGAAATGCATAGAAATTTGCAAACCAGAAAAATACATGGGTCGAAATGATAATTCTCCTACCACAATTCACTTTATTGCGGCCACTCATGTCAAACTAAGAATTTGCAACGTTTACAAAATTTTGCAAAACTTTATACTTGAAATGTATACGAATTTTTTGACTAAAATAAAAACGCCGAAAAATGTATCACTGAAAATAATTTGAAGAGTTTGCAAAAGTTTGCAAAGTTTTCATACAAATTTGGAAACAAAGGAAAAAATACATTTTGTAATATCAAAAAAATCTCATACCTCGCAAATATATCGGAGCGTTTCCGTGTCATCTACAGAACTCCATCCGGCCGAAAACTGATTCGTGTGGACCAGAGCGATCCTAGTTCGACCGTTTGGAAAAGGCGAGGGCTGACCTTCGAGCCAGGCCGTGTACGTCAGCGGCGACCCGAACGAGGCGGCCCACACGTACTCCTGGTTCGTAATGACGTATTGCCCACTCGTCCAAAAGGTCGAACCTATTTATGTACATATTACCAATTAAACAACGAGACAATTCAAGCGGACCTTGGTAACTTTGTATGTAAGGTCTGAGGGTATTCATTATTTCTTCGTATCCTTAGTATTCTTCGTATCGTAAAATACTTACGACGCTTATGAGATTTTGTAAGCGTCGTAAGATTTTCTCATCGAAAATCACGTTACTACGCTTACGATTTTTACTAAACCTGACCCCTTGTTTTTTCTTCGTAAACTATTTTACGATACTACGGATACGAAGAAATAATGAATACCCTCTCTGTAAATTTACAAAATTTTACACATATTTCTAACGAAAATTATTTTTCAAAATTTTGCAAACTGTGTACATTTTGCAAAATTACGTTACAATCTGTCATAAAATTTCATTTTATAAAATATATTTCATAAAATACAGACACTGAGGCAATTCACGCAGTCCTAGATAATTTTGTTAATAGCTCTTACAAATATTTTTCAGGAAAATTAGCTTCAAAATTTTTGTGTAAACTTACTCAGCGTTCCTTTCTTTTGTAAAAGTTTGTAAAACTACTTTGTAAAGGATTTTACAAAGTTACCAAGGACTGCGTGAATTGCTTTAATAATCGTTTAAGGTAATTTTTCGCTAAGCTAAAGAGGTTCACACGTTAAATTTACACACAAGTTGTAAGGCGTTATCATTTTGTATAAACTATTTTACTAATTTTACAGGTTTTACAAGTTACTAATGATTGCGTGAATTGCCTAAATATTGACGTAAATTAGTAATAAGCTATACAAGTATCGAGACAGAGAAAAGATTGATTCCTTGCAGAAATTAAAACAACAGGCAGTATATAACTGTTAAATTTTTGTAAAACTACAAAAATTTTAAATTGTATGTAATACAATTTACAAAATTTGAACTAACTTACTAATTAATGTTTTAATTATTTTTTGTATTTCAGATAAGTTATGACATTTAGAAGAATTGTTGTATTTTGTAATTTTACCCTCTTCCTCCAACATGTTACATTTTCTAATTTAGTAAGACAACTCTTTCTTCAAATTATTATTGGCATGAAAATTCTCAAAATTTGTCAAATCCACAAATTTCAAGTTTTCTCAAGCACAATAATTACTTAGAATGTCAGTTGTTTGTAAGTTTTGTAATTGTATCACATAATTTTACAAAAATTTAACAATATAAGAACATTATAAAAATTTTAGTAAGCACTTTTTTCAAGTTAGTAATCAATCGTTTTAGTGTCTTCATAGAGAGCAGAGACAAAGTATCAGGACACTTGGTAGTTTCAATAGGAAAGTGGTAAAAAATGGTCGTAGGAATCTGAAATTTTTATAGAATATGGTACATATATCCAGCCACACCTGACAAAAATTTCATACGTTTTCCTGGAACAATAAATTTCCTACATAAGTTCAAAGCGAGGAAGTCGAGAAACGATTTTTTTGTAAGTACCAAAATTTGAGTTACAAAGACTCGTAGAAGACCTGACTAAATTTCAAGGAAGAAAGGTTTGGCCGTGAAAAAATTAAAATATACACACAAAAGTATGGAGAATCCGAAAATGTCAACTTCAAAAAGCCACCACAAGAAAAAATCACCATACTGACCCCTTGAAAATGAAAAACGATTAAGTTTATTTTTGGAAAATGCCGCTCCACGTTTGTGTCTGATGCGGCCATGAAGTCGAAGATTAATCCAAACTATGCGCATCATATGAAGGCTCCTAAGTTGTGGGTCAAAGCGTATTCAAAAAAATCTGCAGCAAAGAATACGGAATGTCAAGAAAAAATGATGAACACAAGCCCTTCCAAATTTTACAACAAAATTTCACCAAAACATTTGGTAATTGGCGACGAGTCTTACGTCTTCAAGAACGTGACATAAACTCCGGGAAGGTAATTTTTCATGGGAAATATATGTCTCAACTGAAAACCGAAGAGAAATAAAAACGTTTTTCAAAATTTATCAAGAAATCTTAGGTTTGGCAGGCGTTGGGCCAATTTTGGCATTTTTCGGACCCTTCAGTTCAAAAGGGGTGTGAGAACGCACAGGTTTATTTTCAGAAAAATGTGATAGGCCGTCGGATTCCTTTCATCATGGAGTACAATAAAATATAAAATGCAATTTTTTGGTCCGCCCTTGAAACAATCTACAATGCAACAACTACCAAGGAAGAAATCGAAAAAAAATTCAGTTTGACGTTGAAAAATGAAAGTCTCACATTCAACACTTATTATACCCCAATAAAAAAAATTGGGATATATGTAAGAAGACATACTCCCAGCTTTGTGAAACAGTCGAAATTTAAAGAAAATTTTGGTTACGGAGGGAGAAAATTAACAATGAAGTTGCAAAGTCTTCCGAAAAAGCATAAATGGCGGGCGCGACGAAAAATACTAAAAACAAAGTGGGTAATGTCTCGTTCCTTCACGAATCCCTAACGTTAGTAATGTTTACAACATCATACAAAAAATTGAGATTTCGAAAAATCATTTTTGACCATTTTGAGGCCGAATTACCTAGTGTCCTGATACTTTTTCTCTGCTCTCTACGTCACTTTAACTACTAAGCCACTATTTGGAGATAGAAATTGAGTAACTCAAATTGTTAATTTTTGTTTAGCTGACAATGTAGGTCTCCCAAGGTATGCTCACAGATTTGGGCCAAACTAGCGTCAATCGATCACAAATATAATTAGCATGAAATTTGCAAATAGAACTATCTGCCAATGCTCAAGTTTAGCGGAGATATTTGCATAAAAAGAGTAGAAAACGCACCCCCAAGGCTGGGAAATTTTTCACTTTCCAAATTGCTGCGCATTTTTCCCGCTTTGGATGCAAATATCTCCGCCAAACCTGCGTATTGGCAGATAGTTCCGTTTGTAAATTTCATACTAATTATATTTGCGATCGATTGACGCTAGTTTGGTCCAAACCTGTGAGCATACGTTGGGAGACCTCCATTATGAGTTCTGTAAATTTTGGTTTTTAGTTGCAAGAAATTTTAAAATCTTCGAATTTGTATAATTTCTAAGATTGCATATTCCTAAATTTGTAAATTAGTAAAATTATTAATTATTAACCCGTTTCCGTTTCTTCCCAATTTGTATCTAAGAAAGTGTAGCTAATTAAAATGTAATGTACATTAAGTTAGGCATTTAACTATTACACATTTTCATTCTTTCTTATAATTTAATGAGAAAATTCAAGCAAGCCTTGGTAACTTTGTAAAATCCGTAAATTCAGTAAAGTTACAAACTTTTACGAAATTTTACAAATATTTATGAGGAAACTTAGCCCACAAATTTTTGTAAACTAAATCATGCTTTATTCGATAAAAATGTGCATGATTATCTTACAAGATTTAACGGTTTTACAAAGTTACCAAGCACTGGGTAAATTGTCCTTGTTTTTGTTAAAGATTGTAACATAATTTTACAAAATTTACACAGTTTACAAAAATTGGAGTTAATTTATAAATATTTCTGAGGAAACTTAGCTCAAAAATTTTTGTAACCTTACTCCTCAGATCTATTTTGTAAAAGTTTGTACGAGTATTTTACAAAATGAACCGATTTTACAAAGTTACCAAGCCCTGCGTGAATTGTCTCAATAATTATTAAAATAACTAATAATGTTTTTAACGTTTTTAATAACAACTTTACTATCATGTCAATTTTCCTAATTACTACTTACCCCCACTTCCACGTCGCTCGAGCCATTCATTAATTCCGACTGCTTCCTCTTCCGTTTCGATCGAGACGAGGTGACCACCGGTGCCAAACGTATCGATGCAATCTTGTATGACGGCCGACCATATTCCGGAGAAAGCACTGGAATTTATTTTAATATGGCCTTGATTTTTATGCTCATTTTACATGCACTCTGAATACAAATGAGTAAAATTTACCCAAGATTGGGTAAAAAAGAGGATGACACAACCTAAAGGTACAATTTGCAAAAATTTGACCAAAGTTGTGCAAAATTTGTCCAACGGGTGGATAAATTTGTTCACAACGTTGGCTAATTTTGACCTTTTCGTTGTGTAATACTCTTTTTTTTACCCAACCTTGAGTAAATTTTACTCATTTGTATTTAAAGTGCGATGCTTACATATACATACACCCTAAATAATTTGGAGACAAATCGTCACCCACACGGTACTATATTTTTGGGTAATATTAAGAACATGTTCTGTGACAAAAGTTTTGTCACCAAACGGAAAACACGCAAATCAAAAACTCATGCACCAATGATACACTATTTTTCTAATTAAAAAAACTGAAGATTTTTTTTATTTCTGTATCTGAATAAGATTATTTTTTCATGTGTATTAATTTTTCGATTCATGTCGTCAAGACTTTTTGGTGCACGAGTTCTTGACTTATTTTCCTCATCTAGGTGATAAAACGTTTCCGTAATCATTACCCGAAAATGGAAGACTACAGTAGGCTCTAAATAATTTGGGGACAATCGTTCCCTGTGGAGGTACTACCTCTATGTTTGGGTAATGATTCCGGAAATGCTTTATCGCCCAGGGAAAATAAGTAAACAAAAGAAAAACTCATGGCTTGAAGTCGTTATTAAAAATTTGGTACTTTCATGAAAAATTCTTATAGTATTTAGATACAAAAAAATCAGAAGTGACAAAATAGCGTCCCATTCAATACATGCGTTTTTGTCTCGTGTTTTCCATGATGTCAGAAAACTGGTATAGTCAGGCAGTTATTGGTTTCTCGGTAGTAACGTTGCTACCGCTTGATATTAACATTATACCGGTTCGTAAAAAAAATCTTCCTACCAAACTGATAAAACTTTAATACCGAGCTATTACTACAGGGTATCAATACCACTTTAGTAGAATTATATATGAATACCGCTTGGTATTATTTTAATACTGGATTTCTAAGAGTGCAATTAAAATTGTTGCATCTCATTTCCTTACCTGGCATAATATCGCGACTATTCAAATCCTTGTCGCATCGAGCCTAGATACTGGAACCTGTCCTCATCTGGAATTTATAAAGGGAACAAACCTTTGTAAAAATATTTACATAATTTGATTTGATAAATTTTCAAAAAATACCACTTTGACCCAAAGCGCTGCTATCCAACAATAAGGTAATTAAGGCGGCAAAGTAGAGTGACTTCATTGCAAAAAAGCAATTCTTTTATTCTAATTTAATCAAACCTTTCACTCGGAACAAGGGAATGAATGTTAAAAAGTCTGAATAATATTAACTCTTTATATATTTGCCAATTACATGCGAAATTAATTTAAACCAGCAAATTTACAATGTTAATTCATACTTATGTAAACATCAATACTCTGGCGCACTTACGACACAGTTGACAGTTTATAAAAACCTACATTTGTAAGTCTTTAATTAAACGAAATATGTATGTATTGCGAAATAAGGTGGAATTTTGCACATGTATAAATTGCACAACACACTTAGTCCGAAATTCTGTCAACTTTACACTCTAAAAAAAGTTGTACTAAATTTGCCCAACCTTGAGTAAAAAAGAGGATGACACAACAGTCGAGGTAAAATTTGTCCAACATTGAGTAAAATTATGATGATGATGCACCTTGTTCGCACAACGTTGGGCAAATTTTACTCAATTTTGGACAAATTTTACCTCGACTGTTGTGTCATCCTCTTTTTTACTCAATTTTGTTTAGAGTGTATCCTTGTCAAATCAAACGTGATGGATGTGAAGGTAATACTACTTTAAATTGCACATTATCATCACACCTCCCTGGAAATTATGTACATCTCATCCTCAGGTGTCAAATGAATGATTAAGGAAAAATTTCGTTGAATTCTAGTAATCTTTGTTGACTCAAAGTTACAAATCACAAATCTCACCTCGCCTCATCTACCTAGATAAGTGGTCCAAATAGAACGGTGTATCTATGTGTGTACACACACCTCTTGTCAATAATTGCTTGCCCAATGGTCTTATCCATTGATCAACTCGGACATGAATGACAGTACACGGCCGTTTGATAAAAAAGGGAAGAAAATTCAACGAATTTTCGGACACTGTTTCATACTCGGACCTTTCTTGATTGACAGGTGGCTCTGAACTTGAATGTCAAGTGGAGCACAGAACTGAAACGCTACAACCTATGTACTTCGGAGGGAGAGGGGTATAAAAAGAGAAAAAATTTGACCAATATGGCACACTCAATTATTACTGCGAAAATAAAGTAAACTGCAATAGCCTGCTAATTAAATCAATAAAATAAAATGTCACCTCTTCTCGGACTAATTCTGCTTGTCGGGCTCACAGTCGCTTCACCGGCGGCAAAAGATGGTAACGAAATATTGACAAAAATTCACTCAGGTCTTGGTAACATTGTAAAATCAGTAAATTACGTAACCTTCTTTGCAAACTTGTACACAATTTTGCAAATATTCCTGAGGAAAATTAGTTTATAAATTTTTGCAAACTTGCTCAGATCAAGGGCGTCTCTTTATTTTGTACAACTTTATAAAATTATTGTCAAAACTTACAAAGGTGCCTAGATTTCTGCATGAATTGCCTCATTTTCAATTTATATTTCTAAACTATTAAAATTTTCCAATTTTGTTTTCAGTCCAGAGATTCGAATATCTCGGCTCGCTCCAAGTGCCATCTACCCAACCGGGCCGTCAGTTTGAAGAGCATCGCTACTACGCTTCCGCTTTTTCCGGCATTTGGCAAGCCGCCATTCAAGATTGTCAAGACACTTTCGGTCCAAATGGTCACCTCGTCTCGATCGAGTCGGAAGCCGAGGCTAGCGGGCTGAACGAGTGGATTGAACGGCGGGGCAGCGGGGGGTCCTCGTTTTGGACGAGTGGTCAATACGTCATCACGAGCACGACGTGGATGTGGGCGTCCGTTTTTGGATCCCCGCTCAGCTACACGGCTTGGATGGAGGGCGAGCCGACCCAGTTCCCGAATGGACGCCATCGTATCTCTTTGGTCCACGTGAATCAGTTTTCGGCCGGGTGGAAGGCCACGTTAGACTCGGAAACGATGCGATACGTTTGCGAATTTCATGTTCAACCTTAAATTAACCATTGGGTATTATTTCTATGAATTAATTGCGAAATTCGCAATTAATTCGCAATTCCATTAATTCACATTAATTAATGTTGAAAGAAAATAAATAGCGAACATTTTAAATTGTTCCAAAAAGTTAAAAATTATTAAAAAATTCGGAAAAATCTGCTTTGAAATCTGCTTATGAAAAATCATAAGTTTGCGAATTGTATGTTCAACCTGAAGTAAATTGTTGGGTATTATAATTATTGCGAAATTAATTGCGAAATTCGCTTGGAAGAAAGTACATTAAATTTTGAATTACAAACTTAATAATAATTGAAAATTCCTTAAAAATTCGTTTACAAATCTACAAAATCCTTTAGACTCGTTATGAAATGAGTTAATTACGTCAATTAAAGAAAACAAATTTAAACTAAAGCTTAATAATTACTGGGTTTAGTGTTGAATATCGTTAAAAATTATGGAAAATTCAACATGAAAATGTATAAAATCTTATAAGAATCGAGGATTAAATACTTCAATAAAAATAATTGGTTTCCTGACGGCTTCAAAGTGAAGCATAAATTGATCTTTTGATAAAAATAAATTTATGACAGACTTATGATCATTGTAAGGTTTAATGCATAATATTACATAATAAATCCATACCTTATAAAAATAGATTCTCGCAACCACTTGACTTCCTACGTTGACTCACTGACCTATATATTTTTGCTCCATTGACCCATCATTATTTGCAATGCAGGACAAACTCAAGTGGACAAAATTAAATTGGTGGATTGCATTCCACAAATAAATATAAAGTACTTGACTTGAATAATGCATAAACGGATCAATCAATTGAATCTGTTTATGTACACAAGGTAAACATTTATTTAACAAGGATGCTCCTGTCAAGATAAAAATTTAGCAAAATTTTCGGCGAAATTTTGAGTTGAGTTACTCAATCCAAAATTTGTTGACATACACAACCTGCGTATGTCAACAATCGATCACTTCGTTATCCTGGTGCATAAATAATGTCAAGTGGGCATAATAAACTACTGTAAATATAGAGTAAAAGTGATGATCATCCGTATGAGAATGGTTAAATGCAGTAGAACAAGTTAATCTCTGGTCAGGTTTAGCTCAAATTTTGTCCAAATGTGACATCGAAAGTGTGTCTTGAGTCAATTTCAAAAGTATGAGAAGACCGGATGACATGTAGGTGAATGTGATAATTTGCACCATTCTTTTAAATGGTTGTACTTAGAGTGGTAAACTTTTGATGAAAAATTACTTCATTAAGCTCCACCATTTTGCTTTTAATCACATTTTTAACACAATTTATCGAAAATCAAAGACATACTAATATTTGGTCATAGAGGTTCACTTAATTTTTAACAAAATTTATTCCGGCGTTTAACTCACAAATTAAGGCAATTCATTGGGAACTTTGTAAAATAATATGACAAACTTCTACAAAATGAAGAGACGCCTTTGATCTGAGCAAATTTGCCCAAAGTTATTAGCTAATTTCGCTTAGAACTACTTGTAAAATTATGTAAGGGTTTGTAAGTACGGATTTTACCGCTTCTACAAAATTACTAAGGACTGCGTGAATTTAGTCAATATTTAAAATTTTATTTAGATTGCTGACAAAGTTCTCTTCCGAGAGATATCCATTCCTCCTCTCTGTTTTCATCCCCGATTGATGTACTATTTACCTAGAATGTTTACATGATTTAAACATATTAATAACTTTTTTCACCACTATTTAATTCATATTGAGGCAATTCACGTCAGTCTTCGTAACCACGTAAACTTACGAAACTTGCAAACTTTTTATGCAACTTGGGAGCATTTCGATGGCAATTTTTCCTTACGAAGTTACAAAAGCTTACGAAGATGAACGGCATGTTTTTCGTTCGTAGGTTGATCTTCGTAAGTTTACGTGGTTACGGACGTACAAAGGCTGACGTGAAATACTTCATTTTCTTACTCGCACCTCACAAATGTACCGGAAAATCTCACTGTCATACTTCGCACTCCACCCGGACGTGAACTGATTGCGATGGACGAGAACAATTCTGTGATGATTGTTCGGAAGTGAGACGGGTTCACCACTATTCCAGGCTGTAAAATTTACATATTTCCCAAAACCTGACGCCCACATCCAATCTGAATTAATGTTAACGTATATCCCACTCGTCCAGTATGTGGCACCTGGAAAATATTGAGGCAATTCATTCACGCAGTCCTTGGTAACTTTGCAAAATCGTACTGTTTCTAAAATAATTTTCCAAACTTTTACAAATATAAAATGACACCTTGACCTGAGTAAGTGTACACAAATTTGTAAGTTAATTTTCCTATGAAAATGTTTGTAAAATTTTTGTGAATGTAGACAAGTCGTGGATATTACAATGTTACAAAGGCCTGCGTGAATTAAATTTCAAGGAAGAATTAAAATTTTAATTGTTAGAGTTTAATGCCAAACTTAATGTGTTGTATGTTTTGGTTAAGTACTTTTTGTGAGATTCTTCTCTGGTTAGGCTTTCACGTTAATAAATCAGAAAATTTTGAAGTTGTAAAAATAAAATTTTTCTTGACAGCTTCTTATCGTATTGAGCAGTTAAAAATTTTCACGACACGTGGTCACACAGCATGCTTCTTGGCATTTAGTTGAATGTATTTTTTTGTGAATTGCTAGAGTCACAGATATACTCCGTACCGGTATTGATTTGGTAGTAATTTCATACCCGGATTGGTAATAGTTTGTTTCTGAGTGGTAAATTTTTATTACAACAACCACAACATTACTGGCCGGTTATTACCAGTGCTGGTGGAGTCACATATTTATGCACACCGGCCAGTAATAATTTAATACCAGTTTCCTAAGAGTATAGTAATTATATACGGAAAGAGTACGGCATCTTACCCCCACTGCCACGTCGTTCCAGCCATTCATTAATCCAGAGGGCTTCCTCCTCCGTTTCGATCGAGACGAGATGACCAGCCGGGCCGAACGTGTCGATACAATCTTGAATAGCGCTGCACCAAATGCCAGGAAAGGAGGAGGCGTAGTAACGCCATTCTTCGAAATTGTCACTTATCGAGGAGCCAAGATATTCGAATCGAGGATGGTCAACTGTTTAGAGGAAGAAGATTCAATAAAGTAATTTTTATGCAGTCCTTGGTAACTTTGTAAAATCCATAAATTCTGCAAACTTACAAAGTTTTACAAAATGTCTCAAATATTTCTAAAGAAAATTGGCTTATAAATTTTTGCAAACTTGCTCAGATCAAGGGCGTGTTTTTACATTGCAAAAAGTTTACGAATTTTACAAAGTTGCTAATGGCCAAGCGCTGCTTGAATTCCTAATATTCACATTAAAGGTTTTTCTTTTGAAATAAAATTGAACGTACCATTTTGTCCCACAACGTAATAAAGACTTATGAATAATACCGTGATGAAGAATGTCATGATTCTGCAGGTATAAATAATCATAAATTTGCAGAATTTTCCACTATTTGCAGTGTCAGTTTGATTGATAAGGTAAAAATGAGTGACCTTGTTTTCAAAATTTTGTAAGGCTATAGTTAATTACGCAAATGAACAAGGATAATTTTTCGATTTAAGCACTCAGGTGCATATTTGTATGTGTGGAAATGATTGACAGAAAATAATCTAACAATTTGTCAACACTCAAACGAGAACGAGAGGGTTGAATAAGTATTTATTTATATACGCTGTTCATCATTCAAGGTGAAATGCTTTGATAAGACGGGACAAATTTCGTTGAAAATTTACTACTTGACACACGAGGCCACCAGACATTAAGTAGAATCTTGACACATGACGAAATCTGACGAATGGACTATTTCGCAAATAAATATGTGTACATAGTACGCAAATATTACACTCTTATGTAGGAAACTGGTATTAAATTACTGCTGACCGAAATTCAAATATATGACTCTACCGGTACGGTAACATATAACCGGCATTAGCTTTTAGTAATGTTGTGGTAATAACAAATTTACCAATCAGAAACAAACTGCTACCAAGCTGGTAGTAAGTTATTACCCAATCAATTCCAGTAAGGTGTATAAGAATATGTGACTCTACCAGATTTTAGCAGTGTAAGATTTTCGATCCCCGATCTTTTTACTTCCAGGAAACGGAATTTTAAATGTGGAAACTTTAAAAAGATACTTATCTGTAGTCGAATGAGTGATAAATTTAACGTAAATTATGCATTATTGCATAAATATTTAAATGAATCAAATTAAATGCAATTAGTAATTGATGAATTAAATATGTAAATAAAACATGTAATCGTATTTTATTTATTGTTTTACTTAATTGCCTATTTTATACACAAGCCACACGAAAGTTTTCATCCATGTCGAAATTTTTGAGGATGAAGGAAACCCCACTAATTTCCCCCAAAGGGCAAACATCCTTTATAAAAGTGCTCTCTGTATACTCGCCGGTAAATTCGATCGAGAAAACGGGCTTATTTTCCGATATGAAAACGTCAAAATAATCACATTCGTTGTAGGCGGCACATTCCTGAAAAAAAATTCAAGTGTACGAGTTAAATGCCAACATTAATATGTATCATGATTTAGTTTTATTTAAGTAATTTGCAAGATCAAGATTCGACTTTACAAATGTTACCAATTCACGCGTGAATTGCCTCATTGCAAAATCCGGACATTTGGTAACCTTTTTTGACCGGGGAAACTTCCCAAAAATTCATTTGCTTTTATTTTCTTAGAAATGTTTGCAAAACATTTACAGAATTTGCGGATTTTACAAAGTTACCAAGTCCTCCGTGAATTTTTAATTTGTTCTTAAAAAATTACCAGAACAGCGACCAAGTCAAAATACGGGAGAAGACTGAAGGCTTGCTGGTGCGCATTTTTTAGTCCTGCCAGCATTCCAAGCACTTTAATTTCCTGCCCGATATAAATATTGTACTCGAGTTGTTCCTCTTCGGTGATCGGGAATCCGGAATCTTCCAGCCAGGCGTTCATGTTGTCCGCGTCGATGCCGTGACACCCCTTGGCCGCCGCGGATCTGAACCGTTCCCGCATCAGGGGCAGGATAACGTCCGTGTTTCGAATGTCCAACCACCTTTCTCCCGGCCAGGCGACATTGCCGAGAGCACGGGATGGAAAATTGTCCGCGTCCGGACGCCACATTTCCCACAAACCCTGACAAAATGACAAGTTTCCAGAAAAATAAAATAAAGTTTTCCAAAATTGCAATAAGTCAATTCACCCTAACTTTTGAAATCCGTATCTTTTTGCAAAATAATTTTTATAAAATAAAGAGATGCCCTTGTTCTCAACACGTTTACAGCAATTTGTGAGCTAAACTTTCCTTCGAAATATTTGCAAAAGTGAGAATTGTTCGCGTTCGGACGCCCTGACAAAGTTACCAGAAAAATTAAATAAAATATTGCAAAATTACAAAATTCAAGCCAACTTTTAAAATAAGTGATTCTTGTAAAATGATTATAGAAACTTTTACAAAATAAAAGGATGCCCTTTATCTGAGCAAATTTAGAAAAATTTATGAACTAATTTTCCATCGAAATATTTGTCATATTTGTAAAATTTTGTAAGTTTACGGATTTTACAAGGTTATTAAGGCCTGCTTGAATAATTTCCTCATTAAATTTCAAGGCAGAATTAAAATTTGTAATATTAAATGCCAAAGTTAATATTATTACATATATTTTAATTCGTGATACAAATTTTTTTAGATGTATAAATCATTGCGATTATATTTTTGAAATTTGAAAATTTTGTTTATTTTAAAGCCAATACAATTCTAAAGAATTCTTTGGCATTGAATACTTATTGTGATGAGGACTATAAATTAATTTCACTTTTTTTTGGAAACTTAGGAGATCAAGGGCGTCTTTTTATTTTGGAAAAGTTCGTAAAATTATTTACAAAATTTAGGGATTTTATAAAATTGCTGATGACTATAATTGCCTCATTATTTTAGCGATTCATAATTTACAAGGTTTTCCACATGGCAAAAAAACATTATGGTAGAAAGACAGGTAAGAATTTTTGTAACTGCAGTAAGCCGTTTAAGCAGCGTTTTGAACAGTTTATCAAAATTTGAGATGTGGCTGCTTGGAATGTAAATTATGCTTTGAAAGAATAATTTTTTTTCTAATAAAATTTTAATGCATTCTAATCCTGAATTTAATCACAAATTAGCGCGTTTGTAACCCAGTAACTAAACGTGTACAGTAGTTTCCGCGATTAAAAAAATTCACGTGAATTACATTTCCAAAAAGTACAAAATCTATTAATAGATTTCCTAGTAATAACTTTTTTTAAATGTTAACATTACATGTAACACAACTTTCGCAAGGCAACTTTCATTTTTTTTGCAACTGCTATACGCCGATTGAAACATCGCAGCGTATTTAAACAGTTAAACGAAAATTAAGATCCTGAATGTCAGTTTCATAATTATTTTATAAAAAAATAAAAAATAAAATTTCAATCCGGCTAATCTTAAATTTAATTAAAGCTACTTCTTTACCAGATAGTAACCCAGTAAACTTCTCGTCACACATAAGCTTGCATCGTGACCTTATAAAACATAAATACATACAGTTTCCGTACCGTTTCCGTTTCCGTTACAGGATTACAAAAATTGGTAAAAGTTTATAAAATGGTTTTATGAGTTACAAATGGCTGCATTAATTGTCTAAACTTTGCAAAATTACAAGGTTTAACTTACCACGTCGACATGACACATGACCGTTTTTCCAGCTGCTCTATACTGCCAGATGACATTTAGTGGGAGGTCGTAATCTATGAAGACAAAGTCCCCTCCCGTCTCGACAAAGGTGGTCACTCCGAGGAGATAATCGAACGAGTAAGGGCCACGACCTGGTCTATGGGGATAAATGAGACGAAGGATTATTCTCAAAATTAATTAGCAATTCACGCAATCATTGGTAACTTTGTAAAATTCGTAAATTTTTCAACATAATTTTACAAACTTTTCGAAAATAAAAGACGCTCTTGATCTGAGTAAACTTGTAAAAATTTAGGAGCTAACTTGCCTTAGAAATATGCGTAAAAGTTTATAAGTTACTGGATTTTACAAAGTTATCTAGCACTGTGTGAATTGTGTCAAAGTCTGTGTTTTATGAAATTTTATGAAAGATTTTAACGTAATTTTACAAAATTTGCAAATACAGATTACTGGAATTTTTAAGAATTTGGAAAGTCTTCACGTCAATAAAAAAAATCTCAATCAGTTATTTAAACTAACATGTTTAAGATCTGGTCGACTTGATACCGAAATCTTCTTTTGAAAAAATGCGAAAATTGTGTTAAAATTTGTAAGTTTCCGGATTTTACAAAGTTACCACGTGAATTTCCAGTTCAATGAAATACGATCTGTGCATAAGTACGTACTTGAATGTCGTCGTCGGTGGTGGCGTCGTTGTAGAAATATCTTCCGCCGGACTCTATTAAATACATTATTTTTTCAAATAATTTTCAAAATTTGCTAAATATTTCTTATTTCATTTTTTTATATTGCCTCACCTCACAAATATACCGGAGTATAATCGAATCATCCTGCGACATCCACGAGGACGGTGACTGACTCACATAATTCAGGGCTAACCTCCTCCTCGAATTACTCGAGTCAGGCTGCCCCACCCCCCAATTTGTATACGCGGAAAAATCCACCCCCTGATTTCCCGTCCAGTACCACTCCTGCCCCACGCCCGTTGCCGAACCGCTCGTCCAATAGCGTCCCACCATCGCGCCTCGGGAATCAAGCCATTCCGAAATCCAATCCGATTCCACTTGCGTCTCGATATTGAGCAGGGTCCCATTTTCGCCCAGGATGGCGAGACAATCCTGCGCCGCTATGACCCACACGGTCGCGACGGAGCTGGCGTAGTAGTTGGACGCTCCGGGGGCCGTGCCGGGGTGGAAATAGCCATTTTTTGCAAGGGTGGTCGTGGTAGTTTTGCATGTGCGAATAATCAGTAGCAGGAGTAGCACTATTGCAAATTTTGGGGAGGAAATTGGTCCCATTCTTTTGGACAGGGGTGTATTTTGTTGTAGGTGTGATGAGAGGGTAACCACTACTGGGCTTGGGGAAGGATAAGGTGGAATAATTTATGTATGTGACCATGCATATCTGTAGTATCGATAAGGTGAAATTATTGGGTTATCAATCAAAGTCATAATGCATAACGTAGACAAATTGCATTGATTAAACATACATTCATAATGTTATTTATGAACAAATTGTAAGTAATACACTTTAATTGGGATGTAATGTGACGAAACAAGAAATTTCTTAAATGTTAAATTTTACACAGTTTGGTAACAAAATCGTCACCTTTTGTAAATATGTCTGCATAATTTATACCGATTGGGTGGATTTTTGAAATTCATATTTCAAATTTTGAAGTAAACATTTTTTTCACTTGTTATGCATTCCAGTAAAATAATTTTTGAAGCAAACATCAACCGAATTTAATTTTACTGAAAAAGTAATTTGGTCACAATATTTACAATTTATTTCAACGATATTCTAGCACAGAGGAATAAATTGCAGTTTTTACACTTAGGTATCTATCTTTCGTATAGGCATTACTGAGGGTTAGGCAAGATTATAGAACGTGTAGCTATTTGCCCATATACGCGAAACAATGGCGCTAATTCCAAATATTTGAAACTTTTCTGGAAGCTTGGTTCAAGCTGCGCCGTTGCCCAAAAGCTCAATTTCGAAATTTTGTAAACGATTCCAAAAATGGACCCCAAAGAGCTCCATGCTGTTAAAACAGTTTGCCAAGCAATAATGACGTACAAAAAAATACTAAACCAACTCCAGCATTAAAAAATTATCATTTCTAATGGCCCAATGTCTAAAATAAAGGATTCAGTTGAAAAAAGGAACCAGGCAAGAAATTTGATGGTGCCACACTCGTCGAAGGCATGTCCCCCGAACTGTAAGAAACCCGACGCTCGTGAGAAAAATTGATGTGGACAAGGCAATAATTTTTTTATCAATACAAAATCAACTGGCCACGAAGTCTCAGATCCCTGGGCGTACACTAAACTGAATTAATCATCAAGATATGCACAACGTCAGCGAGAATCAGGAGATATGAGGTTGACACGAAACTTTTTTTCTGACAGCGCTCGGATTACCACCCAGTACGCAGCCATTCTTTTTTCAATATTCGGAATTTAAATTATTTTGCATAAAGATAAACTAGTTACGTCCGGTTATGCGCCTCTAATGCTTTAATTTTGATTTGAAACTTCAGATCGACAATTTTTTCAAATGGACATAAAATTTTTTTTATGCAATTTGCAAACTTTTAGATCAACAGTGGTTCAAAGAAAATCTACTGTCGGCTTTAAAAGCCCGGCTTTTTGGAAATGATAACTTCATTCCTCATGAGAAATGGATGAGGAATACGATGAAATCATTCAAAATATCCAGCAACGAATATTTCGCCCAAAAATTAATAGTTTTCGACACGTTCTATAATCTTGCCTAACCCTCAGTAGTGGCATGAGGCTAATTTATAAAAATTCTGATTATTCATAAAAATTTGAAGTCGTTGATCACATTATTAACGAGGCTATTTTGGTTTGTAATTTTGTAAGGATATTCACGCAGCCATTGGTAACTTGGTAACTTTGTAAATTCGTAAGTTTTGTAGAATAATTTTACAACCTTCTACTAAATAAAAAGACGCCCTTGATCTGAGTAAGTTTACAAAAAAATTTGTAAACCAATTTTTCCTCGAAATATTCGTAAAATTTTGTAAAAGTTTGCAAATTTACGGAATTTTACAATGTTACCAAAAACTGTGTGAATTGTTTTTTTTATAAAATTGGTATAGATCAAAGTCGATAGTTTGTTTTGAACTCGGACTTTCATGAAAAGTTTTGTTAGATGGAATAATTTGTAGTCAAAATTACGTTTTTTTTGTATTCTAGTCATTGTTTTAGCTTTGGTGAAACTGGGATTGAAATTGAAACTGAACTTGGTAGATTTCAAAAACATTTAATTTTGCGAAATATTCGATTAAACGTAGAGACGATTTTGTCGGTGGAATTTATTAGCCTAAAAAAATCAACAAAACGGATGACAAATTGAGAAAAATAAGTTTTGCTTTTGAATTGACTCTAAAAATTAAAGGTGGTAAAAGAAGTGTGATTTTTAAAAAAGCAATAGTTATTTATTACAATTTTGATTTCAACATACAAGTTTTTATATTTTCAATTTGCAACGCTGCTTAAAATAAATTTATTAAACCTATAAATGTTACAAAGTTACAACTGACTGCTTGAATTGCTTGAATTGCCTCTTGATTTATTTATTGTAACAGTTTTTGTCGTAATGCAATATATCAAACTTCGTCAGGCACACTATGAAAAGTTTCGAAAAATTCTTGAAAATCTAGGAAATTTATGAAATTAAATTTACGAAACGAAATTTCTGCGTAAAATGCGTATCTGTTTTAAACTTACAGATATGTTGTTTGTTGTTTAACGCCGAACTATATTTTGTAAAGAAATAAATTTACAAATTAACTTAACTAGGTTCAAATTTGTTCTGCAGCGAATCAGGATTTTTTTAACAACTCAACAAAAAGTTGTAAAATGTTTTACGGGTAAAAATAACCAGGGTGTGCTACGGTAGCACTGCTACCCCGGGTTTTTGGGGTATTGATGGGTTTTGGGTAGCAAATATGAGCAATACCCACGGGTAGTCGGGGTTTTCAAATTTTATAAAGTATGATAACAGGGCTTTACTAACAATTCTATAGTGTAATAAATTATTTAATTTGAATTAATTAGCAGCTTTGTTGCGAAATTGCTGAAAAACCAGACTGTTTTCACAACTTATTACATGAGGTCGTCGTGATTCAGTGTGCCCCAAAACTCTAACTACCCCGATTACCCTTACTACCCGCAAAACCCAGGTAAAATCTCTGGGTATGGGTTTACAAAAGCAAAACCCCGGGGTTCTCCTTACCCTAGAAATAACTTAAAAATAATTATTGTCTCCAATCATCCTCTGACGAAACAAAAAAAATGTGAATCTTAAATTTTGCACAGTTGCATAAATTTATGCAACTTTAACTTGATAAAGTTATAAAAGTTGAGTGAATTTGACGTGAACTCTCAAAATTTTTGGTACATAGCAAAATCGTCACCGTATATATTTCTGTGTATTTTGGGTTGTTCAGGAAATTTTTCATCTTTGAAAAAAAATTTTTACCCACGCATTGCCACGAACTTTTCCCGTACATTCGAAGTTTGGATGATTTTAATTTTTAACTGCAATTTCCCACTTCTAAGACCTGCATCTCAATGTTATGGTGGTGGTTTTTTTTAAAGCAATTATCTTCAGTTCACCCATGATAAAGATTTCATAGAAAAACATTAACAGGATCAATAATTACCTATAACTGATTTTGTCTCGAGCGGGGGCCGAAAAATGTATGTTACAAGATTAAATTTACTCCCTTTACGTCATCAGGCACATGACGTAAAGGGTTTAAATTGTAGGTGATTTATGTGATTTATCAAGTTATCTATGTACAAATTATTGAAAATCTACGAAATTTACGAAACGAAATTTGTACCTAAAATGTGCATGTCCCAAAATTATTTTGTTAGGGATTCACCGCCGAATGAAAATTTTGCGAAAAAATTAATTACTTATTTATCTTTAGGTCCACGGACGTTCTAGGGTTTTTTGTTAAGCTTCATCAAAATCGTTTAAGTTACAATTTTTTTTACGATTAGTAATAAACTTAAAAAACTCACATTTGCACAATTTTATAAACTCATACAACTTTAACTTGATTAGAGTACCTGTAAAATTAGTGAAACTAGTTTATTTGGTAACAAAATCGTTACCGAATGTATTTCCAATGGTGAATTTTGTGTCGATTTTCAAAGTTTATCTGTACGTTTTAAATTTTGAAGTAAATATTTCTTTCGTGTGTTATCTTTTTACTGATGACTTTTGATATATTTACTGTTGATTCTGCTGAGAGAGTTGGAATCCAGAATCCATCGCCGATTTACATGAAAATCATTCAATTTTTTTCCCAATTCCAAACATAAAATAAAATAAATTGGTATTAAATAATTATGCGAGTCAGCTCATTCGGGTAATGTAAATCGGCGATGGATTCCAACTCTCTCAGCAGAATCAACAGTATGTTTCAAATTTTTAATTAATAATTTTTCGCTTGTTACGCGTTTAGGCAAAATAATTTTTTAAACAAACATCGACCAAAATAAGTTTCCGTGAAATAGAAATTTGGGAAGTAATATTTCTGTATATTTCATTCCGACGGTATTATCATAAACATTCTGACAGAGAAATAAATTTCGGTTTTTACACTTTCTTTACAATTTAGATAACCATTAACGCCATGAAACTAATTTAAAAAAATTTAGCTTCGTAAGAAATTTTTGAAGGTAAAGTTTTCGTTTGAACTCAAATTCATAAAACTTGATTCAACAACTTGTAAGTAAAATTAGTAAGGGTATCGAATTAAAATTATTGTGTAACACCGAATGCATTTCCAATGGAGAATTTTATTTCGATTTTTGAGCTTTATCTGTATATTTTACATTCTTTCAAGTATTTCTTCCGCTTGTTATGCTTTTAAACAAAATCTTTTTAAAACAAACATCAACAGAGCGTAATTTACTTAAAGAATAAATTTCTGCATATTTTTATCCCGACGGCACTCTCGAACATATCGTAATCTGACAGATGAGTACCATACGGTTTGTACACTCAGTTTTACCTTTTGCATAGTTATAACCCCACAAGATTAATTTATAAAAACTCACATTATTAACAAATATTTTAAGTTGAGTTGGTCCTTAAATATAATTTATTTAACTTTTCTGTATGCATAGCAAAATTTTTGGGAAGCTAAACTCAATTAATATTTTGTTCCATTAAGTTTTCATATCCCTTCTATCCTATTAACGAGGACAATTTGTATTGTAATTTTAATGAAGCAATTAACGCAATTGCTGGTAAATTTATAAAATCCGTAAATTTTGTAAAATAA